ATCTTAAGTGATCCTTTGAGCTGCTCCCCATTGGATCTTCAAGCAACTTTAACCTCAACAGTCTTCGGCTTCTTAGGCTCAGGCGGAGGCAGCTTCTCCACTGTCACCCTCAGAACCCCATCTTGACACACCGCCGATATTGCATCCATATTTGCATTCTCCGGTAACGCGAACTTCCTCATGAACTTTCCGACTCTCCTCTCCAACCTCAGGTACTTGACTCCATCTTTCTCGTCCTTCTCCTTATCACGCTTCCGCTCTCCGCTCACCACCAGGACGTTGTCGTTCTCCACTTGAACCTTGATCTCATTGGCCTTGATCCCAGGCATGTCCACGACAAACACGTAGGATGTCGGGTACTCTATCACGTCCGCCGGTGTCGCCGCCATTGCTTTGGCGTCACGGACATAGGCTCGGGAAGGATTGTTCCTCGTTTTCTCCTGCTCTTCGGGGAACTCCAGCATGTCTTCAAGGATGGAGAGAATGGGAGATTCAATTCCAAAGTTCCTCAGGTCCATTTAGAATTGAAGATATAGGAAGGAAAACAGGGGATTTTTGGAATCAGAAAACAGAGAATTGTTGTGTTAAGGTTTATGTTTCGACGACGATCAAATGAAAGGATTGAGGGATATATATAATGGGAAGATAAAGGAAATTCCTGAGAATTCTGGAGATCTTATCAATTACTGTCGGAAAAAAAGTTCTGTCTAGAATTCTGAAGAAGACTACTGAAGGTTCCCCTGTTTCCAATAAACGTAATTTTATTCCAAAACAAAGTTGATACTCAGATATTGGAAAAATTTCAGCTGATATATTATAATTATTATAACATGATATTAGTTATTTTATTTATTTATTTATAATAAATTTAGTTTATTTTTTATTTTTAAATATAAATTTTAAATAAAAATTTAATTTATTATATAAATCATTATTAAAAAAATTTTTATTAAAAAAAATAGTCAAGGATAATTTTCCATATGAAAAAATTTTAATTATTATTTATAAAATTATTAAATTTTCATATAAAATTTATATTTAAAATATCAAAAAATTAAATTATTTTTATTCAAAATTGCAACATTATTATATAACTATATAAATCTACGAGAAGATAATGGGTTTCAATTCTTAAAGCCCACACCATGGCCCAAGCCCATTTTTCTTAATGGTATCCTCAAACCATTATAAGATTAAAACCACTTTAACAGGCTTAACATACTCAGTTACAAACTTACAAAACTTAAAATTCAAATTAAAAGCCTAAATCTAAACCCAAATAAATACACATTAGCAGTAGCCAACTTAAAACTTAAGCCCAAGTATCACAGCCCAATTAAAAAACGTAACTTTTGTCGCAACTCG